TTTTAACCAGAAAAAAAAAAAAACAAAATACAGTACGAAGAGAGAGACCGCTACCCTTGCTCGACGCGACTTCTGGAGTGGAGGACAAGAAGGCGGGTGGGGAGGCGGTTATTTCTTGGAGGGAGAGTCCCCCCTCCCCACAGGAAGCCACGACCACGTGTCATGGCAGGGAAAATGGCCGCGGATCCTGTTCGTCACCCGATGCGGAGTTCGCGGACGGAAGCAAAATTTTGCAAATGGTTCTGTTCGTGACCTGAATTGGTCGTGAACAGAAGCGTTCGTGACTTGAGGTACCACTGTATTTTTTTCTTGGATGGCTCCCCCACTTATTCCCATTTCTGGATCTGCTTTTTAGGGAGGGTAAGTTTGGGGAGAGAACTTAAATGAGAAGGGGAGATCAATGCAATTTGAAATAGTAGAAATATTTTCTATTGAAACAGACTACTCTCTCTGGGCTGTAAACATATTGAGGGCCTCTAGATGGCAGCAAAACATAGAGGTTTCAGTATTTCTTTGTTGCCCTCTAGTGGTTGTTCATACTTTTGCAGACCAGATATGGTAGCCATGAGACAAAGCTGCCATTGGATCTAACCTGTTCTTCATCCCATTTGCTTACCTTGTGAAACCTTATCAAGGCATAGCTTTTACTCAAAATAATATTGTCTGTTTCAAAGTAGAAGTTTTGATCTTAGTTGAATTCTCAAATAAGATTATCCTTTCCTTCTTTTTCTTTCTTTTTTAAATAGTTTGAATTTTGTGCCAACCGGCTCTTTCCTTACAGAATGGAAAAATGTTACGTGTCTAATAATTATTTATAACTTCCAGTACAGTATGTTTTCCTATAAATACTTGGACTTGTGTTAATCTCTAAGGCTACCTTTTCTTACTCCTGCCTGACTTTAAAAGTATCATGTGTTTGATTTACTAGCAAAGACGGGAAAGATTCCCCCTCCCCTTTTCCAATCCCTCCATTAATTCATTTTCTCAGCAGTAAAGAATCCAGTTCAGCAACAAAGCTAAAAGCTTTTTTGGCACCAGTTATATGTGTTCTGTCCAGTAATTCTGCATTAGTGACATATTTACTGCCTATAATAAATCTTTTAGGTTTGTCTTATAATCCATTTAGAAGCATGAGTAGAGTATATAAGGCTGGATATCTTAGAAATTCTGCTGACTTGAAGAAACAGATCAAATGATTTAGCTTGGCAGATAGAAAAACTACAGATCAAATCTACAGTTGGCTACCAGAATTGTTGTGTTCTATATATTACACATATACAGATATGCAGTATTGTTAATACAATAAAACTGTAACTACAAATGCAAGTAATAAATAAAGCTAATTACAAAATAAAATTCATAGGGAAATGTAAGTATATACATATAAACATATTGGTTCATGGCAGTATGTTGCTGTTTTAAAGCAATTTTTTTTTTTTTTGTTCAAGATTGACTGGAACCAAATTGCCACTCAATTTTTTAACTCCTTCCCAGACCACGTCAGTATGAAAAGTATGTCATGCAAGTAAATATACAGTACAGTAAATATACTGAATGTCGAAAAGCTCAATCAGTGTTATATTCTTTTTGCTGATTTTTTGAACTTCTCAAGAGAAAAGCAGTTATTCTTCAGCTTTTCTAATTTCTTATAGACTTTGTAAAATGTGTACTGTGAAATGCGTATTATTTTCTTCTGATGGTCAGTTTGATGTCCTTTTCTTGCATCTAGAAGGCCAATCAGGTGCTGTTTTTCCTTTGCCATTACCCTAATACTGAGAACTGACTTTTCATGTGCCTGGAGAGAAAGTATCTTTTCAGTGAAATATTTATTTCAGGCTGCCTGAGAATTCATTCTGCATATCATTTTTTACTGGTTCTTTTTATGCATATTGACCTGGTTGGTATATAATGCTAAGGCATGATTTAGTGCCTTGTGTACAAGTCTGTGCAAGCCTGAGAAAAGTCTTGATTTGTGCTCCCCTTTGCAACAAGAAAGAAGACTTATCCAGGTTTGTTATTTACATATGGACCAGAAACCATGCTATAAAACAAACTCTGATTTGTTCAAACAGCCCATGGTTTAAGCCAAACAGTTTGTGATCTGGCTAGATGAGGGGTGGAAAAGGAATGGGTAGGGTACAAGGCCCAGGGGTTTGGTCAGGCTCAGAGGCTTATCTACATAATAGTAAATTATGATTTAGGATTAAGTGCAGTCACTAACATATTGGCTGGGTTTGCATGTTGTACTAGGCCACAGTTTGTTGAATAAGATACAATGGCTGGATTCACACAGTGCTCCAACCTAATCCAAAATAAATCATATTATGCCTTAGTGAGAAAAATGAAATCAGCTTTAGACTTGCCATCTCTTCTGATTAATGGCTTCCACAATCTTGGAGGGCATTACACAGTGTAGACTTCCAACCTTTTTTCTGAAATATGATCAAATCATTAATGTAATCTAGTGCCTATGTATACCCCCAATTTGAGATAACTTATTTGAAAGATCAGTGCTCGTTTGCTGCCCAAAATGGAGTGCAAATTGTTTTTCTTACTGTTCCCTCCTGAACCAGGATCCATCCTTTAAAAAGTGTTACAGGTAGTCCTCACTTAGCGACCCCAATTGTGACTGGCAACTCAGTCATTAAATGAAGCAGTTGCTAAGTGAAACTGATTGTGCTTATGATCTCACTTCAGCATTCCTTTGCTTTATAAACCTACGAAGGTCATAAATGAAAGGATTGGTCGCAAAGTTACTTTTTCATTACCATCGTAACTCAATGGTCACTAAACGAGATAGTTGCTAAATGAGGACTACCTGTGTTGCATGACTGACAAACATTCCTGCCTTATTCTGTTCCTCACTTGCAGCGCTGCCTTGAAATAACAAAGGTTGCAGCCTGAATATGACTATATATGTAATATACATCAACAACAGCAACAAATCTTTCTATCAAATACCACTTTGCATGAAATAAAGGGTTGTTTTCAGCGCTATATAATGTGCAATCTTTGTCAGTAGATACTTTGGTTGGAAGGTACAAACATAAGATTCTTTGTTAATGTGTCATTTAAATGACAATTGAAATAGAATTCAGACAGATTTGGTTGAGTTCTGAAATCTTTATTTAGGTGATCTTAATGTTAAAAGTTGTATTAAAAAGTGTGCATTTATAAGCAATTTTGTCAAAATTAATTTGCAAATTTTCTACAAAAGGCAGTTGTACTAAGATTTTGGTAACAGGCAAATTTAAAATAATAAAGCAGTTGGTTATGTTGAGTGCCCTAACTTTAGTGTCCAATTGAATGGAAATCACTTAATTTTCCAGGGAGAGTTGCAACAATTGGGTAATTACATTTAGCAATCTTCAAATGCCCTAAAAAGGCAACTGTCATTAATCAGTTGGTTTACCTTTTACCTTGTGTGTGTGTGGGGGGTGTGTGTGTGATGGTGGGGAGGTTAGTAGAAGCTGTAGCTTTTAATTTGGTATTAAAACATCTTAAAAGATTTACAGAAATGGGGAATTCCTCTGTTATGGGGATGAATGTTGGTGACTTGGTTCAAAGACTTAAGATTATGGGTTAATTTAAACATCATTCCTTTGCCAGAAAGGTTCCCAAACTAGCTTACTGATGATTCAAAAGAGTCCCTGCTCTGAATCTAAAAAGGGAGGAAAAGGGAGGAAAAACTGATAGGGAAGGGAGGGGAAAGCAAGGCTATTCAGGTAGCAGTTTTTAATTTTATATTGTGATAACCAGGTATAATACAACTGGAAGTTACTGGTCATCTTTTCACAGGTAGCTAGAAAGGAGGAAAAGGAGCCAGAAATTCTGTTTGTTTGTTTTTTTACTTGAGCTAGTGGTGCAGTTCTACTTCCTATCACACTCTCTTATATCCTGACAGAATTATTGAGACAAAGGAGAGTAGAAAGTTGCAGTATGAATTAAATAAAATGTTGGCCCTGCTGTTCTTATGGAGGGAAAATCTCCCATTTCTTTTCTAACTCCAAAAATAATCCTTTTCAGAGATGCTGAGGGTTACCTCAGAAGCCTGGCCTTGGGGCAGAAGTGATGCTGAGAGCATGGGGAAATTAACGGAGGCCAAAACGGAGGTCAAAACTGTTTTCCTATTCAGTAGATGACTGCTTAGACTAGACATATAGCTGCCAAAAGAAGCAGAGTTCTCTTGGATTTACTAAGGCTTTGTCTGGACCACACTGCTTCATATTGCACCCAGCAGCTTACCTAAGTGATTGCTTCTCCTGGTACCTCCATCACAAGACCCTTAGCAACACTTCAGCCACGTTAGCATGTCATCAGAAGAGCCACGTTGGCTCGCCAAAGACACATTCTAATTCTGGAGTGGCCGTTCAAATGCTAAAGGGAGGCTTGCAAGCAGGACGGGAATGCAAGAACACCTCCTACACATGTTGCCAGCAATTATTCAGAGACATAGTGGAGCATTACGTAGTTTTTCCCATGGCAAGGAGCCATTGATCAGCTAATTGATTGATTATTTCAATGTCATTCTTAGCAGCCCTGTTGATAGACCTGCTCCAGGATGTTCTGTCCCCAACCTGGCCCTTCAGGGCTCCCAGGGGTATATCCAACACCATTGTAATTAAGCCCATCCACCTTGCTGTTGTCCTCTTATCTTTCCTGCCGTCTTTCCTTTTCAATGCTGGTATTATCTTCACTACATCTTTTGCAGATTCTACATGTTAAGAAAGTACTGTGTATAGTACTTCCTTTTATCTGACCTGAATTTCCCATTATTTATTAAATGGTTTTGATTTGTAGTGTTAAGACAAGAAGGGGGGAAAAATAAAAATAAACCTCAATGATTTGCTCCAGGTATAATGTTTACCCTCTACTCTTACTTTTTTCCCTAAGCTAAGAAGCCCTACTTTAACCTTTTATCTTAGGACGGTTGCTCCAGTCCCCTGATCGCGGTGGCTTTGTATATCTTTTCCAGCAATACAATATCTTTTTTCAGTATACAGATGCTAAGTGTAATTGCATAATAGATTTGGAGCAGGCGCTTTTAGCAATTTTACTTCAGATCTGCAACATTGTTTGCTTTTTAACAGGTGCTCAGTAGATTGATATTCTCTTCAAGCACTCTGTGACCCCCAAATCCATTTCTTTCTCAGTCATCTAGGTATATATAATTAGGATTATTCAGCCCAATGTATATCACTTTACACTATCTTGTGGTGAAGTGATTTAGTTTTGTGTGTGTGTGTGTTGTTTCCTCCAGTTTGGAGATAACATTTTAATGTTCTATACTGTCTCACCTTCTTTTAAGCGGTCTAAGTGATTTGGGGTCAGCATTCTCTTGGAATCATGAAGAGCTGAAGATACAAAACTTTGACTCTATTCCATAGTGAAATATATGAGAACTTTACACAAACTACACTTTATTAGAATTAAAATTAAACCTCTTCTTTGCAATTGGGAATAATTGATACTTGCACACGAGATTTAATTGCAATTCCCAATTGCAATTGGGAATAATTGATACTTGCACACGAGATTTAATTGATACTTGCTTAGGTTACAACAATTTGTTTTAGTTGGTAGTTCTTGGTTCATAAAACCCACCCCATCTGTTTTTTTGTTCGTTTTGGCCAACTCCAGTTGGAGGAAACACTTAAGCTCTGACAAATGGTGTTTCTATGGTGTAATATTAGCAGCAACATTTGAGATTTGGGTGACCTGAAAGAGAGTAGCTCAGTAACACGGAGACTTCTCAGGTGGCACTGCCTAGGAGATTGCTATATGGGCTGTGGATGTGGGATCATCCAGAGAGTTGTTCTCTCGTGCAACGAATGACTTCTCCAAGAAAAGGGCATCTTACGTGGATTTTGTATTTATCCCTGATATTACTTGCTCAATATCTGAAAGTCTCCACTGTATTTTGAAATACTGCATGGATGTCTCAATAACTTCACTGATTACCTTTTTTTTTTCAGCTGACTTGAGTTTGAAAATATTTTTGCTCTTTTTGGTATGATAGGAAATGTGTTTTTTATATTTTCATGTGTTTCAGGAGAGAATAAGAACATACATGAACAGAGTGAAAGAAATAGAAGAGAAGAAAAAAGCTGCCAAGCTGGATAAAGGGGCAGCATCAAGATTTCTACGGAATGCACTGTATGAACCAAAAGCTCAAAGCAAATCTGCAAAAAAAAGTCCCATTCCAGCCAAAAAGAAAAAAACCCACTAGCACAGTGTTTCTCAACCTTGGCAACTTTAAGATGAGTGGACTTCAACTCCCAGAATT